ATATATATATATATATCCTTTTGTAATTTCTATAGAATTCTTAAGCTTCCTATCTTCAAATCTTCGATGGACCAGCAGAAAGTCTGGAAAGAAGGAATATAGTGGCTGAGGAAATTAGTACAGCTCCAGCGAAACAGGCAAGATCCGAACAGGTAACAAGAGGTGTGCTCTTGAATTTCTCTACTATTCCCACTTGAAGTATCATCATCACAGCATGTCCAATTTTCGACTTTGCTTGTGAAACACAGTCCATTTGAATCCATGTTGGGGGTGTCTGGAGTTGAAGATGGAGAGAATAGTAGAGATATATTATTGTGTCTTGATGTTTAAAAAGAAAACAGAGTACTGACATCAATTTACATACCTTCAAATGGAAGAGCCCGAACAGGTTCGACCTTGAAAGAGACCTTTTGATGTTCTTGGATCCCACAAACATGACATACACCCCCATTCCAAAAACGAGCATGGCAGTTCCCACCAAGAACATGTCTGTTTAATTAATGAGTAAAATAAGGTGAGACATATTAACATATTTATCTCAAGAATGGATGGAGCCTTGTATGATTAAAAAAAAATGACTGAGAGATTAAGGATACCTATGGCTTCTATAAGTAGATGGACCATATTTCCTTGATCTGATCTCTGTGATAATGAATGGAAATACTGGAAATATGACTCCAAAACAAGCAAACAGCCCTGCAATTAGTGTTCGATTACAGGGTGTCACTTCACTGTCAAGTATAGAAAAAAAAAATATATATATATATATCTTTTTCTTGAAAGTAAAATTCATACCTCCAGGAAACACAAAACTGAACCAAGTAAGGATCCCACAACAGCAAATACAGTAAAGAATCGACAATCTATTATAACCTGCATGTTTGCAGCACTAACGAAATTTATAAACATTTCTTTCAATTTAAGAAAGAGGGAAGTTAACTTCTTGTAAGTTGTAACATATTACATATCATGTAAATTGCAAATGTAAACTTACTTAATACGTACCTTTTCAATGAGATTCTGTATTTCCAATCTCCAAGGTCTTGGTTTTACGATTGGACCGAGCACCTTAAGCACGGTATCATCAGCAGCCTGCTGATCTTTTCGTTCTGGGAACGACGTGGCTACATCAACAGCAGCTTTCACAGCCACTGATGATTTCCTCTGGCCATCCCCTGAACCCATCTTTTCTGTATTCAACCCCGGTACCTTGCTTATACAACTCACTGTTTTTACCGGAGAAAAAGAGAAAACGCGGTCTAAAGGATTAGATGCACGCAACAATCTGGCGGTAGCCATTGTTGTTCTGGGTTTGAAGGTCTTAAACGTCGATCTGGTGGGTGACGGAGTGAGGCATTTTATACCGTGCAAGTGAAGGAGAAGATTCGTAGCATCTCAGTTGCCATTGTCGGGACATGATGAGACTCGCAACTTTTCTGCTTTTCTTGGGGAAGTTGGTTTTGAATACTGACGATCCATGTTGCTTTGCTCACGTGGCGTTTCTTTTTCCACTCCGCGTGGGCCCATCTTCATTCTGATCGGAACACGTGTCATCCGAGGTTCTGTCAAACAGTAAGGAGAGGAGGCACATGCCTGTGGCTGTTGGCCTATGGGCCTTTTTTGGGCCTTACCTTAACTCTGGGCTTAGATTTTTCCAAAATCCAAAAGAGCCTCACAACGCTACCCATCTTTTTCATGGTATCTTTCTCGCCGGATTCATCGAGGAATGACGAAAGGAGCCGCAACAATTAAAGGGGACTGCTACCGCTGCCTTTGGTTTACCTTTCAGTGTTTGGTTTTTCGGTAATCACGCCAGATTATTATTATATCTTAAATAATTAATATTAAATTTTTTATTTTTTAATAAATTAAAAAATATAATAATTAATTAAAATAAAAAAAAATATAATATTAACAATTGAGGTGTGATAATAACGTAATCACCCTTTTTAAGTTAACCACCGTCAGAGTTCTGTTTCACACCGGTATTAATAATTGATCTTCATTTTGCAAATGCATTGAAATATCAATGATGCTTTAAGTCCATGAGTTGAAGATACAAAATAACCCCCTTTTTTTTTTTTTTTCTCATTTTTGATTATCATCTCTTTGCAATCTCTACCGTTGATTTCTTTGGTTTTTATTTTCGGCAATGGATTATATAATAGATTAGATATAACGCCCCCAACACCCACCCATCCCAGAAATTTTTTATATTTCTTTGTTATCCGTGAATAGAGAATCCAATGGGATTTTGAATATAAATTCCAACAATCCTTCACAAATTGGTCATAAGTTTCAAATAATAAACCAAATAATATACGAACAAAAATTAAATAATTAAATGATAATCTCATTATTAAAATTAAAAAGTTTTAAATTTAAATAATATGATTTTTTTTTTTTATGTAACTCAACACACATATATATATATATATATATGTATAATTATGATTGATCAACCATATAGACATTCAGAATACTAAAAGCTAAAAGCAATTTTTTGCCTAGAGGCCAGAAAATAAGGGAAGGGGCATAACCCAATGAACAGGCGATTGAAGCCAACAGCTCAATCTCAAAAAGAGCCCCAAACTAACATTTAACCGAAAGCACCATTAATCACAACAGTCTAGAAAATGAATGAAGAATGTTTTGTTTGATGCCGAAAGAAAGAAAGAAAAACAAAATCGAGTGGGGATTAGGATGCGGCTCAAAAGTGCTTGAGAGACAATCATAGGATTTTTTGCCTCAGAAAATAAAAGGTCATTGTTCCTCATCACTGCCGCATTTACCCTCTACAAAGCTAAAATCTGAATTCATTCATCTTAAAACCCAAAAAAAAGGGGGGATTTTCACAAAAAAATTACAAGAAATTGATAACAGACGGAGGGAATTTTTCTCTCAGACAAATGCCTCGATTCGTCGTCAAGGTGAATGGATTAGATAAGGAGATCAGACTTATCACTGCCGCATTTACCCTCTACAAAGCTAAAATCTGAATTCATTCATCCTAAAACCCCCAAAAAAAAAGGGGCTTTTCACAAAAAATTAGAAGAAATCGATAACAAGAGGAGGGAACTCTTCTCTCAGACAAATGCCTCGATTTGTCATCAAGGTGAATGGATTAGATAAAGAGATCAGACTCGTCATCATTTTCTATCATCACTGAGAAAATTCCCTAATAAATTCCACAATCAAAATCAAGAGGAACAAAAAACACTCATACCTCAGATCCCTAGTAAGTTACATGCTAGCGAAACGGCGGAATCGATGATTGCGGTCAGTTCCGGTCAGGCCGTGCATCATTTTATAGACAAGAGTCACAGAAGTACATCCTAATCCTAGGGTTTCAAAGGGATGAAGTGAAAGTACAAAATAGACCCGAACTCAGCGTGTTTGAAATGTCTAATCTAGCCTTAACTAACGAAACCAATAACTCGACTCTGTTGTATTCCACTTCCTTTGTTTCTCCGCTCCAGGGAAGTGGTAAATTGTTGTTGTTCTGCTAGGAAAAGTTGATCCTTATGTATTTATTCCCAAATTGTAGTATTTCTTAAAAAATGATTCTTGCTCCGATTTTATGTTTTGGAGGAATCCCAACAAGCACAGCTCTAAATCATCAAAGAAAATCGTACCAACCTCTTTCTTACAACAGGGTATCCAATCAGAAATCAGAAGCGTAAGTTGATCTGTCTCTTTCAGACATTTTCACAAACACTTGTCGTGCAATTTGCAAAACCCCATTTAAACGTGAATTTCCAGGTGCGAGTGTTTCGATTTGCATAAAGAGATAGTTCCATATAGGAAGGCATGGTCTTGGCAGAAACAGATTGTTAAGGAGAAGAAGGAATTGATCCAAAGAAATGGGGATTGTCCGGATACTTTGATTGTTCTTCAGCATCACCCTGTGTATACAATGGGTACCGGAAGCTCTGAAGAGTACCTGAACTTTGATATAAAGGAAGCTCCTTTCGATGTTTACCGAACCGAGCGAGGCGGTGAAGTCACATACCATGGCCCTGGACAGGTAATTCCCTTCTAAATTTCTCTCATCTCCATATTTGGAAAACTAGATTGAGAATAAAAATCAAATTTCCTTAACCTGACTTTTTCTGCATGTGTTGTGTGTAGTTAATAATGTACCCCATTATCAATCTCAGAAACCACAAAATGGATCTTCATTGGTACCTCAGGGCACTTGAGGAAGTGGTTATTCGAGTTCTTTCATCCACATTTTCTATTAAGGCTTCCCGGGTTGAAGGTTTAACTGGCGTTTGGGTTGGTAAGTCAACTTTACATACCATATTTTTAGTCCTTTTGCATCCAACGGCATTTTTCTGTGCCAGGCTTGATTTTACATATCATTGCACTGCATAATGTTTATCTCTCTTTCAATGTTCCTGTCAGTTTTAGGTGACATTGAAACCCTTGATGTAATTTTAGACCTATTACTAATTTAGTATCACTTCTATTACTACCTTTCCTCATCAATCTTTTTAACTCCTTACTTCAGGAGATCAGAAATTGGCTGCAATGGGGATAAGGGTATCTCAGTGGATAACTTACCATGGATTAGCTCTGAATGTTACCACGGATCTAACACCTTTCAATTGGATAGTTCCATGTGGGTTACGTAATCACAAGGTTGGAAGCATAAAGGGATTGCTTGAAGAATTCTGGTTATCCAATAGATGTGATGAAGCAGATATGCATCATCTTGATGATTGTGAGTTGATTGATATCTCACATAAATCCCTGATTAAGGAGTTTTCTGAAGTTTTCCAGCTTGAAGTCCACCAAAAGACTATGCAGATGTCTGATTTTCGAATAGAGAACTGTTAAAATTGTCCCAGATATAAATACCAGTTATAAACTTTTGATTGTTTCCTTGTTCTTGATCCATGAATTACTTGCCAACCACCCTGGCCTGGATAGCAAATGCTTAGGCTACCTCCTACCCTTCTGTTGGCACCACTTCTCTTCCCCCACCTATTAGTCCGAGTTGTAAAAATGTATAAGATTTACGTACCTGTAGAACCAGGCTGCTTATTGTATCATTTCTATCTCAAATTATGTTCTGAATCCTAGATCGAGAGAAGGAAACTTGTTACTTAGGGCATGTACACTGGTGTTCAATGTAATTGTTATTTTCTTAAATTAGAACAGAAACAAAGCTTCGCCCCATTAGAGCATTTCTGAAAACATAGCCTTGTCCTATGCATCAGGCCTGCTCGGTTAAAGGGTTTTGGGCTGAAAAGGGGCCGAAAATACGTCAAAATACGTCGATTTGGCTCCTTTGGGCCGAAATTTTCACCACTGCCGCATTCTCACTAAGGTATTGGATTTGAATCCAACGGCTATATCTTTTTTCTTTTTTCAAAATGTAATTTTTAAAAAAACTTTGTTTAGAAATATACAATGAAAAAAACGTGTTTTGTTAGATATTCTATTTTAAAATTAAATATATGTAAATTCATATAAAATAATATTAATTTTGACATTGTAGCATCAAAATAAACTTTTTGACTATTCCCATTATACATCCTCTTAGTCTAAAGTTTCTTTTTTCATAGAATGATTGAAATTTCAGACAAATGGCTTTTGACATGGACTTGACGAGAGTATGTAGGCCACTTGTGCACACTGTCTTATGAACCCCCACTAACCACACCCACTCCGTGCCAAAGTTGTCAATACCGTACCGGTATGCGTATCGGTTTTGCTACTGGAACGGTACGTACTGGATACCGGAATTTTTCGTGTACCGTTTCGGATTTATCGTTATAAATATATATTTTTATAAATTAAATATCAAATTTTAAAATAA